TCATCTCTTTTGTTTAATGTTCTAATGGCCGTTCCTATTTTTGAATAATTTATTTATATTTTCACGTTTACGGACAACTCATGCATTCTTATTCAACTAAAGGACAACTCATGAATTCTTATCCAAGTAACGGACAACTCATGAACTCTTATTCAACTACCGGACAACTCATGAATTCTTATCCAACTAAAGGACAACTCATGAATTCTTATCCAAGTAACGGACAACTCATGAACTCTTATTCAACTAACGGACAACTCATGAATTCTTATCCAACTAAAGAACAACTCATGAACTCTTATTCAACTAACGGACAACTCATGAACTCTTACTCAACTAACGGACAACTCATAATCTCTTATTCAACTAACGGACAACTCATGAACTCTTATTCAACTAACGGACAACTCATGAACTCTTACTCAACTAACGGACAACTCATGAACTCTTACTCAACTAACGGACAACTCAGAATCTCTTATTCAACTAACGGACAACTCATAATCTCTTACTCAACTAACGGACAACTCATAATCTCTTATTCAACTAACGGACAACTCATAATCTCTTATTCAACTAACGGACAACTCATGAACTCTTATTCAACTAACGGACAACCCATGAACTCTTATTCAACTAACGGACAACTCATGAACTCTTATTCAACTAACGGACAACTCATGAACTCTTATTCAACTACCGGACAACTCATGAATTCTTATTCAACTAACGGACAACTCATGAACTCTTATTCAACTAACGGACAACTCATGAACTCTTATTCAACTAACGGACAACTCATGAACTCTTATTCAACTACCGGACAACTCATGAATTCTTATTCAACTACCATATTGAATGTCAAGCTAGGAACCCTCTAGCAGTGGGTGAGACGATCAGCTGTTCCTGTTAACGCCCGTTTTTCCACGCAGTATATTTTTTTTTATCTTTAGTGTCACCATCAAACCAAAGAGAACCAAAAAAAAAAATGGACAAACAGACGCCAAATCAATATTTGTAACACTAAAATCAAACACAACATGAATTTTATTCATCACAATAATTTATTTTTTAATTTGTTAAAATTTCAAGAGGAAAAAAAAAGAAATATCACTTTAATACATTTGATATGTACAAAAAATCATTATGTACATAAAATTCACACATGAAATCAGTTTATTGATGAGTGGGGTTGACATTTTGGTGTGAAATACAATAGTGGAAATGTGAAATCGGCTGAGCTGTGAATTGTATGAATGATCGTGATAGGTGAAATAAAAACATCAAAGACACGTAACCAAGGGATGTCGTCAGTTTCAAACTTCGGGGTTGAGTTGCACAGACAGATTGAAATAAACATCAGAAATATGGTGGATCAGTTGAATAAAAGATTTTTTGTTCCAACGGGGTTTTTTTATGGCGAGATGCAAGGTCGCTCCCATGGCTAGTGTTTAAAAAAATGGTGACTGAAATTGTCTTGACTTAGTGTTTAAAAAATGGTGAATGAAATTGTCTTGACTTGATGTTAAAAAAATGGTGACTGAAATTGTCTTGACTTAGTGTTTAAAAAATGGTGACTGAAATTGTCTTGACTTGGTGTTAAAAAAATGGTGACTGAAATTGTCTTGACTTGGTGTTAAAAAAAATGGTGACTGAAATTGTCTTGACTTAGTGTTTAAAAAATGGTGACTGAAATTGTCTTGACTTGGTGTTAAAAAAATGGTGACTGAAATTGTCTTGACTTGGTGTTAAAAAAATGGTGACTGAAATTGTCTTGACTTGGTGTTAAAAAAATGGTGACTGAAATTGTCTTGACTTGGTGTTAAAAAAATGGTGACTGAAATTGTCTTGACTTAGTGTTTAAAAAATGGTGACTGAAATTGTCTTGACTTAGTGTTTAAAAAATGGTGACTGAAATTGTCTTGAGTTGGTGTTAAAAAAATGGTGACTGAAATTGTCTTGAGTTGGTGTTAAAAAAATGGTGACTGAAATTGTCTTGAGTTGGTGTTAAAAAAATGGTGACTGAAATTGTCTTGAGTTGGTGTTAAAAAAATGGTGACTGAAATTGTCTTGACTTGGTGTTAAAAAAATGGTGACTGAAATTGTCTTGACTTGGTGTTAAAAAAATGGTGACTGAAATTGTCTTGAGTTGGTGTTAAAAAAATGGTGACTGAAATTGTCTTGAGTTGGTGTTAAAAAAATGGTGACTGAAATTGTCTTGAGTTGGTGTTAAAAAAATGGTGACTGAAATTGTCTTGAGTTGGTGTTAAAAAAATGGTGACTGAAATTGTCTTGAGTTGGTGTTAAAAAAATGGTGACTGAAATTGTCTTGAGTTGGTGTTAAAAAAATGGTGACTGAAATTGTCTTGACTTGGTGTTAAAAAAATGGTGACTGAAATTGTCTTGAGTTGGTGTTAAAAAAATGGTGACTGAAATTGTCTTGACTTGGTGTTAAAAAAATGGTGACTGAAATTGTCTTGAGTTGGTGTTAAAAAAATGGTGACTGAAATTGTCTTGAGTTGGTGTTAAAAAAATGGTGACTGAAATTGTCTTGAGTTGGTGTTAAAAAAATGGTGACTGAAATTGTCTTGACTTGGTGTTAAAAAAATGGTGACTGAAATTGTCTTGAGTTGGTGTTAAAAAAATGGTGACTGAAATTGTCTTGAGTTGGTGTTAAAAAAATGGTGACTGAAATTGTCTTGAGTTGGTGTTAAAAAAATGGTGACTGAAATTGTCTTGACTTGGTGTTAAAAAAATGGTGACTGAAATTGTCTTGAGTTGGTGTTAAAAAAATGGTGACTGAAATTGTCTTGACTTGGTGTTAAAAAAATGGTGACTGAAATTGTCTTGAGTTGGTGTTAAAAAAATGGTGACTGAAATTGTCTTGACTTGGTGTTAAAAAAATGGTGACTGAAATTGTCTTGACTTGGTGTTAAAAAAATGGTGACTGAAATTGTCTTGAGTTGGTGTTAAAAAAATGGTGACTGAAATTGTCTTGACTTGGTGTTAAAAAAATGGTGACTGAAATTGTCTTGACTTGGTGTTAAAAATGGTGACTGAAATTGTCTTGACTTGGTGTTAAAAAAATGGTGACTGAAATTGTCTTGACTTGGTGTTAAAAAAATGGTGACTGAAATTGTCTTGACTTGGTGTTAAAAAAATGGTGACTGAAATTGTCTTGACTTGGTGTTAAAAATGGTGACTGAAATTGTCTTGACTTGGTGTTAAAAAAATGGTGACTGAAATTGTCTTGACTTGGTGTTAAAATGGTGACTGAAATTGTCTTGACTTGGTGTTAAAAAAATGGTGACTGAAATTGTCTTGACTTGGTGTTAAAATGGTGACTGAAATTGTCTTGACTTGGTGTTAAAAAAATGGTGACTGAAATTGTCTTGACTTGGTGTTAAAAAAATGGTGACTGAAATTGTCTTGACTTGGTGTTAAAAAAATGGTGACTGAAATTGTCTTGACTTGGTGTTAAAAAAATGGTGACTGAAATTGTCTTGACTTAGTGTTTAAAAAATGGTGACTGAAATTGTCTTGACTTGGTGTTAAAATGGTGACTGAAATTGTCTTGACTTGGTGTTAAAAAAATGGTGACTGAAATTGTCTTGACTTGGTGTTAAAAAAATGGTGACTGAAATTGTCTTGACTTGGTGTTAAAAAAATGGTGACTGAAATTGTCTTGACTTGGTGTTAAAAAAATGGTGACTGAAATTGTCTTGACTTGGTGTTAAAAAAATGGTGACTGAAATTGTCTTGACTTGGTGTTAAAAAAATGGTGACTGAAATTGTCTTGACTTGGTGTTAAAAAATGGTGACTGAAATTGTCTTGAGTTGGTGTTAAAAAAATGGTGACTGAAATTGTCTTGACTTGGTGTTAAAAAATGGTGACTGAAATTGTCTTGACTTGGTGTTAAAAAAATGGTGACTGAAATTGTCTTGACTTGGTGTTAAAAAAATGGTGACTGAAATTGTCTTGACTTGGTGTTAAAAAAAATGGTGACTGAAATTGTCTTGGCTTGGTGTTGCTCAAAACACATTCATGCATTGTTGGGGTTTATTGAATTGTGTGGGTTGAAGGGGAGGGGTGTGTGTTTGGGGGGGGGGGGGGAGGGTGTGTGTGGGTGTGTGTGAAATGTACGTGCTTGTTACATTATCTGTCATCTGTTACATTATCTGTCATCTGTTATATTGTCTTTCATCTGTTATTGGCCTCTGGCATGAAGAGTTGTGGGTGTGATTTTCGTAAAATAATTTGTTAGTTCCTCGGTCACTTAGCGCGATCTTTAACTAGCTGGGAAGTTGTTTTTTCTAAGATAATTTTGAAATGAAAATTTAATTGTTCTTTGTGGGTGATTTTGGTGGATTTTGTACTTTTGGTGTTTTAGGTACATCAAACAGTAAATTAAATCCATACTCAAACAAAGGCAAAATTAGCATAATTTATCGAAACAAGGGTCATACTACAAAAAGTAAAGCTAATGACTGTTTACATAATTAAGCTTAGATCAAGCTAATTAGTTCATTAATAAAATATTTGCTAGCTACCTGTTCAATAACATCATTGGACGGTTTGTCTAGCCCGCGTGGAGGTGAAAGGTCATTGGTCGATTTTTGGTCGATCACAACCACGTGACATATTGATCATACCTGGACCTTTGACGTAGCACATAGTCTTAGCTGGACCTAACACTTGACATAGTCACAGCTTGACCTTTGACGTGACAGTCATAGCTTAACATGTAGGTCTCTTGACCTGACCCATTGACCATCCTGTAGGTCTCTTGACCTGACCCATTGACCATCCTGTAGGTCTCTTGACCTGACCCATTGACCATCCTGTAGGTCTCTTGACCTGACCCATTGACCATTCTATAGGTCTATTGACCTTGCTCATTGACCATCCTGTAGGTATATTGACCTGACATTGACCATCCTGTAGGTATATTGACCTAACACATTGACCATCCTCCCAGGATATCATTACGCCCCAGCGAAAGTCTGTACCTACACCCTAGGAGTGTAAACACTAGAACAACATGTATGCTGTACAGTCTTTGGTTGCAGTTCTCTGTAGTGTAGGACATTAAAAAACGTCACATTGCTTCTATTGTTAGTCTCTCACCAAAATCTCCGCAGTGAGACTTTTGACCAAAACGTTTAAATACCTTGAACAAAAACTTGACAGTAAAGTTCTTGACCTTAGTGCGTTGTTCTGGCATTGTTTGATGAGACTAATTAACTTTAACCAATCAAGGCTTCTTAAGATGGAAATCCTTGCGTTGAGTGCACTGGCGTCTTGTATACATTTGAGTCCAATAGAGACCAAGCCTCCAGTAGCTTTAGCGGCCATTGTTCATCTTCAACCTCGGTTCTCTGTGGGGTACAAAGATGGCGAACTTTGAACCGGAAGTTGACTGACGTGCTGTTGCAAGCCGTGAATAAACATCCGGGGCAGCAGCGGCCGGTGAGCGGGCGCCATTGAGTTCTCTGGGTTGCGGAAGTAGAGAGCGTCTAGATTTGAGAGGATGGCTGCTGCCTGAAAGGGGGGAGTCAAAAGAAACACACGTTTGAAAGTGGCGGGGATCGATAGGTAAGAATTAAGTAAATTAATGAATGAGATTAATTAATGCGTAAATAGCACCATCACGACAAACTCGTTTTGAAAAATGAAATTTGGTTTGCAGAGTGAAGAATAGGTTTGAATGTTAATTTATTCTGTTTAATCAATTTAATCTTGGGGAATGATTGAGTTTGAACGTGGCTGTCTAGTGCAGACGTTGGTTTCTATTATCAGCCAAAGCGGGTTTAAGTTAATTGTAATTTACCGTATTTTGATGAGATGCAATTAAGCAATGCTAATTTTCATCAAAATACTAGATTTACCATATAAAAAAAAACATTAAGTTCAATATCTTCAAATTTTAAATGCTAAAAGTATTTATTCATGTTGGTTAACTTATGACTTATGTAGATATACATTGTTAAACTAAGTCAGGAGTTCCTATTCCACGTGTATGGAAATATTTTATAATAAAGGCAAAAATTTTCAAACAATTAAGAAATGTTCACTTTCGGACCTTTGGGGATTGTGGGGCAGTTGAAATAGAGTTCACCTGTTTCTGCGACCTCGGCATATGAAGTAGTAGTGTGTTCAGCACCATGCCCAGCCGCCTTTACTTTCCCAACGATCAGTACCCATCAGAGCTGGGTGGACTCAGGGAAGTGCCACGACGAACCAGGGACTAAAACTCACGACTGTCAGGCAAGCAGGCTCTATCCCCAGTTTAAAGAACAAATCAATTACACAGTGCCTGGTCTGGGGGTGGTAGTTGAACCAGTAGGGGGGGGAGGGGTAACACTCCCCACTTAAAAAAAAATTCTACAGTGCCTCACCTGAGGGTGGTAGTTGAACCAGTAGGGGGGGGGGGTAACACTCCCCATTAAAAAAAAATTCCACAGTGCCTCACCTGGGGGTGGTAGTTGAACCAGTAGGGGTTGGTCTGCAACATCCTCTGTACAGCGGCGTAGTTGCCTGCCTCAGCCAGCAACTCAAGACCTACAGCTGTCTGACGCTTCCACTTGGTTCTAGAGAGACATTATGGGATCGTCCATTAGTACAGTGTTAAACAGACATTATGGGATCGTCCATTAGTACAGTGTTAAACAGACATTATGGGATCGTCCATTAGTACAGTGTTAAACAGACATTATGGGATCGTCCATTAGTACAGTGTTAAACAGACATGATAGGATAGTCTATTAGTACATGACATAGATTTAAAAGGACAAAAACTTAGCCAGAAAGATATATAATTAAAAAACGAGCAACGCTCGTGTTATAATGAGTATTTTGATTAGTGTGACGTAGGTTTGGTAAGCTGAACAAATTCTAAACTAACAAATGTCAATTAGGCTACCATATCTTCATCATGATAAAAAAAAAACTAAACAAGTTTAAAAATAATTGAAACTAGGCTAAAATATCTTATCTAAAACAAGGCTCAAATATCTGAAACTAGGCTAAAATATCTGAAACTATACTAACATCTAAAACGAGTATTGCTAATCTAATCTATGTGTGGTTTTGCTAATCTCTAGCAAATATTGCTTTGTGTTTTGATAATCTCTAGCAAGTACTGCTTTGTATTTTGCTTTATAAATTGTCGGTTCCATTATACACATTAAACAGCTTTGGCAGACCCTCCTGTTGCAAAACAAACCCTGTCACTAACCCTTATTATAAGATCCTTGCTACTGACCCCTATGACAAGACCCCTGCCACTGACCCTTACGATAAGATCACTGTGACTGATCCTTATGATAAGACCCTTGTCACTTACCCCTATGATCAGACCCCTGTGACTGACCCCTGTCATAAGACCCATGTGACTGACTAAGATAAGACCCCGTGACTGACCCCTTTGCTAAAACCCCTGCCACTGACCCCTATGATGACCCCTGTGACTGACCCCTATGCTAAGACCCCTGCCACTGACCTCCTGTTCTGGTACCAGGTCTTGACCTACGTGTCGGTCAAGTTGAGTTTGGCTGCCAGTTCCATCCTGACCCCTACGATAAGACCCCTGTGACTGACCCCTATGATGACCCCTGCCACTGACCCCTAAGCTAAGACCCCTGTAACTGACCTCCTATTCTGGTACCATGTCTTGACCTGCGTGTCGGTCAAGTTGAGTTTGGCCACCAATTCCATCCTGTCCCCTAAGCTAAGACCCCTGTGACTGACCCCTATACTAAGACCCCTGTAACTGACCTCCTGTTCTGGTACCATGTCTTGACCTGCGTGTCGGTCAAGTTGAGTTTGGCCGCCAGTTCCATCCTGACCCCTATGCTAAGACCCCTGCCACTGACCCCTATGCTAAGACCCTGTAACTGACCCCTATGATATTACCCTATGCTAAGACCCCTGTAACTGACCTCCTGTTCTGGTACCATGTCTTGACCTGCGTGTCGGTCAAGTTGAGTTTGGCCGCCAGTTCCATCCTGACCCCTATGCTAAGACCCCTGCCACTGACCCCTATGCTAAGACCCTGTAACTGACCCCTATGATATTACCCTATGCTAAGACCCCTGTAACTGACCTCCTGTTCTGGTACCAGGTCTTGACCTGCGTGTCGGTCAAGTTGAGTTTGGCCGCCAGTTCCATCCTGTCCTGCACGCTGAGATATTTCTGTCTCTCAAACGTCTTCTCCAGGACCGACAGCTGGTGGTCAGTGAAGGCTGTCCGGGCTTTCCTCGGCTTCTTCGTCTTGATGAGCAGGGGGGAGGAGCTGGAGCTACCCCGCTTGGTGGGGGACCTCTCGTCGTTGGAGTCTGTGGGGGGAGGAGAGGAGGGTGAGGATAGATTGTGGGGGGGGGGGGGAGAGGGTGAGGATAGATTGTGGGGGGGGGGGGGTTAGGATAGATTGGTGGGGGGGGGGGGAAAGAGGGTTAGGATAGATTGATTGGGGGAGAGGAGGGTTAGGATAGATTGGGGGGGGGGTAGGAGTAGGATAGATTGGTGGGGGGAGAGGGGGTAGGATAGATTGGTGGGGGGGGGTTGGATTGAGGTGATGTTACAGGCCTGTTAAACCCAGGACAGTTAAAGTAAAAAGTGCTTAGAGAGATGATAAAGCTGCGAAGACGGAATGCGTATATTAAAGATCAATCGAAAAGGAATTGAAAAGGTCTGGAATAAGGTGGTCTAGATGAAAGACAATATAGGTGACTGGAGTTAGCAGTAGAAATCGTGATCTTAATTTTTAGGAGACGAACATTGGCGACTTGCACACACACACTCAAACACACACATATACACTCAAACACATAAACACACACATACAAAGAGTCCCACAAGGCACGTGCACTTACAAATGAAATAAAACACCGCACACATCAATATAGCATTAAACACACACAACACACCTTATAACACCAACTATACACATACAAACACAACACTAATCACAGACAACATATTCTATAATACCAAACATACACACCAGCTCACCTCCCACTCCCACATATTCACACATTGGAATCGATCAACCCAGGAACATTGAACAGATTTGTGACAGGACTAGCCAATAAACACATAGCGGGCCTTTGTTCTCTAATTACATCTCCATACCCTAAGCTTCAGGCATTGTTCTGGTCTATGCCGTGTTAATCTAGACCGATAATCCCGACAGACGTGACGATACTAATCTCATATTGTTCTAATCTATTGATGCTAACGCTAATGATCAGCGGTGGGTTACAAAAAACAATCTTTAGTTGTATTTGGGTAGATTAATCCCACCCCTTACGTTTTAATTTCGTTTTTCATAAAAATAATTTAAAAATATTGTATAAAGACATAGATTTAGGCATGAAGTAGACTTGATAAAAACTTAGTTAAGAGGTATGGTTGAAAATGATTTAGCTGTAAGGTATGGAAGGTAATTCAGGTGTGGTTGTTGAAGATTTAAGTATGATGTAGGCTTGATAGACTTGGTCAAGGATGCGAGCAGAATCGAACATGTGGTTAGTAAATCAGAGGCGTAGCGACCCTTCCAGGCGCCCGGGGACAAACTTTCAATTTGGCGCCCCACCCCCATATATTTTTTTTATATTTATAATAACTGCAGCTAAAATGAGCTTTTAATTTTTTTCCAACACATTTTGGCGCCCCCTACGGTCGGCGCCCGGGGACACATTTACCCCCCGCACCCCCCCCCCCCCCCCGCTGCGCTTCTATAGTAAAAAGAAATTCTATTCCATTAAAATAAATGTTCTGCAAAGCATCTGATGCGGAAAAAATCTTAACCTGTGTCCCCTTTGTCGGGATTATGAAACCTCTCAGCTTGATTTACCGGAAGGTTGTAAAAGACCAGGGTAAAGTTGATATAATTTTTAGTAATAAGGTAATGTTGACTTCTAGGTATGAGGTAGAGTTGATAGAACTTGAAGTGTGAGTTAAGATTACAACAGACATGTTGTTTGCTGCAGTGGTAAACAGGCGCACGTGTTGTTTGATGTCGTGTAGGTGAGTATCACGTGAAAACCCCTGGGGACAGGGGTGGGGGGGGAACTGCTCGAGCATCTGTTTATTTAATTGCTCTGCTTGATTTGTCCTAATCACATCGGAGGTGTGAAGTCAAGAACAACACCTGGTAATATGTGGGTTGTTCACCCTCCCCCTCCCTCCTCCCCGCACATTATACTCACGGTGCAGCGACCATACATGGTAACACAATCTAACACAAACCGGCCATATGGCTCTAGCCCGCGAACCGACAACCGCCTCGCAAGCTCGCACTTTACCCAGCCATTTGACTCCACTAGACGGGAAAACAAATGCTCGATTTGAAATCGGAAATAGGTTATTATGTACCGGCGATCGCCTGATTGGGGCTGATTGTTTCTCAACTGGCACTTTAAAACGCAACAGCTTGTACGGCTGGGAGTCAAACATTGCGGACTGCCCGCTTAAAACGGAAATCTCCGCTAACTCGCGAGATTTGGTTACCGCAATGGCCGGCGAGATTTGAAAAAGCCCGTGTTTTAAAATTCTTGTAGTGGAGGCGCGCGACGGATGATTGTGTGACGGATGATTGTGTGACAGATGATTGGGTGACGGTGCCCGGGGGGTGAGCGAACATGTCTTTAGCATTAGGCCCCGGGGGAGAAATGAAATGTAGAGCTTGAACATAAGACGGTGGGGGGGGGGGGGGAAGAGGAGCCTTGCCCAGTGCTGTTCGTTGGCTGTTCTGTCGGCTGTTCGACTGAGAACAATCTATTTGAGGTGGGGGTGGGGGTGGGGGGGGGGGGGGGTGACGGAAGAAATATGATGTCTGGGCGTAAAGATCCACTAACAAATTTAATTTGACAATAATTTTAACAAAGTGGGAAATCTCAGCCATATTTTAAAGTGAACTGGATATTTTTTTAATGTTTTTCCTCAGCCATTTTTGAAAATGGTAAACTGTTTAAGGGTGGAAGGAGGGGGGGGGGGGGGTGTTGATTGAGGTAGGGACAATATATAACCTTTTCTAAATGTCATATGTCATATTTTGACATTGTATCCGCTACCCCTAAGAGGCACATTTAACATATAACAAGTAGCCTGTAATATAGACTACAAATGTGGATGGAACTAGACTGATGTCTATTTGATGTACGATTCTATCCGATTCTTTACACGTTATTTGGGGAGTGATAGTGTGTCATTTGCTAGAAATATTAGGACAATATTAAATACACTTTTATTTACTGGGTAAGGTTTCCCTTTCAAACCTGACGGTCTATGGGGCAAGTGAAGTAGAGTTCACTTGTTTCTGTGCTCTCGGCATATGAAGAGATAGTGTGGTCAGCACTATGCCCAGCCACCTTTACTTTCCCTAACGTGTGTTAGGTACCCATCAGAGTTGGGTGGACTCAGGGACGGTCTACTGCCTTGAACCCGGATTCGAACTCTAGACTAACGGGTTAGCAGTCCAGCTCTCTACCGCTAGACCACTCTACTAGGTAGGCAGGCCTTTAGATGTCAAAAATTTGTGAGGAATTTAATTTTAGAAGTCAAAACTCAGAAATTGATTGTTGAGCGCTTGCTTATTTCGTCCTTTTATTATTGACTAGGGGTCAACGGTATCTAGTTAAAAACATTAGCAAAATATTTTTTTACTCACATCATGGAGCCGAAATAAATAACGTAGGTATTAGAAATACTGGGAGAACGACATTATTTCTTATTAGGGTGGCCCATTTGTGGGAAGTTGACTATTCTTTCATGGTGGGATTTGAGTGATTTCAGTTATGAGGGCTTTGAGAGTAATTTTTTAATGAGAGATTTGAGAGTATTTTGTTATGAGGGATTTGATAGTATTCTGTTATGCGGGTGGTAAAAGCGCGCATGCGCAGACGTGGCCGTGAAATGTGTCGCCATGTTGTTTGAGCAGGCCACCACCTCTGATTACGTGATTAGCGGGCTGGTTTTAGCGGGAGGGACGTGTGAAGGAAGCTGATGTTGGCTTGTTTTGATTTGATTTATCTGGCCATCGTCATTTGGGCGATCAAAGGTGGCGGCGTGATCAGGCGTGGTGTTTTGGGGCAGTGATATTGGTGTCAGATGGTGTTTTGGGTGTATGACGTAGTGATATTGGTGTTTGGTGGTGTGTTGGGTGTTTATTACGCGGTGATATTGGAGTCAGATGGTGTGTTTGGTGTTTATGACGGAGTGATATTGGTGTTTGGTGGTGTGTTGGGTGTGTATGACGTAGTGATATTGGTGTCAGATGGTGTGTTTGGTGTTTATGACGGAGTGATATTGGTGTTTGGTGGTGTGTTGGGTGTGTATGACGTAGTGATATTGGTGTCAGATGGTGTGTTTGGTGTTTATGACGGAGTGATATTGGTGTTTGGTGGTGTGTTGGGTGTGTATGGCGTAGAGTTTTGGTGTCAAATGCTGCGTTCGGTGTTCATAACGTAGTGATATTGGTGTTTGGTGGTGTGTTGGGTGTTTATTACGCGGTGATATTGGTGTTTGGTGGTGTTTTGGGTGTTCATGATGCAGTGATATCGGTGTCAGATGGTGTTTGGGTGTTCATGACGCGGTGATATTGGTGTGAGATGGTGTGTTGGGTGTGTATGACGTAGTGATATTGGTGTTAGATGGTGTGTTGGGTGTTCATGAAGCGGTGATATTGGTGTTAGATGGCGTGTTCGGTGTTTATTGAGCAAAATCTTTCCCAGTAGTAAGAGTTTGACAATTATTTTTCCCAATATGTTAAGTAATATTGAATAACTTCTATTTGACAACAGTGTATATATATATATATATATATATATATATATATATATATATATATATATATATATATATATATATATATATACAATAGCCAGCGCGTGCTCAGTAAACCACAAACCGCCCATCCCATCCCCCCCCCCTCTATCTTTGAATCCGATTACTACAGATATCAACAGATTACATTCCCCGTGTCAGGAATTCGAAATTTATTTTTCCCCGTATGTTGCGATGGAATAACTTCAATGTTCGTTTAATCACCGCATTAGTGCTGTTTATCCGTGGCGAGCCACTTGAAAGTCGAGAGGTAAAGATTAAATTTAGCGCGAGCAGATGATCATGTGACCTCACTGAAGTTTTCAGGATGGCGGATTAGTCGGGGAAAACTTGGACAATTTGACTTGCGGATTATCGCAGGATGGGGATTATCTCCCTTGTTAAATGTGACGGTGAAAAAGTAAAAGATTGGAAAAATCGTTTGGGATTTGGAGGGTTAAAGGGTATCAATAGGAGTGTTTAGAAAAGGTTGAAATCGTTGAGGGTAACTCGTGGTAGAAAGGTGGGGACGACGCACGAGGGGGATTATGTTGGATGGAGAGTTGTAGTTGAGTCAAATTTACATAATGGTTCAAGTGAGAAGTTTTAGGGAGCAGGACATAGCCAGGTTGGGATTAGTGAAGTTGGATTACTGAAGTTTGGATTAGTGAAGTCTGGATTAGTGAAGTTATTTTAATTGAAAAAATTAAAAACCTAAGTACACTTTTAATCCGACAGTTTCAGGCTTGCAAAAATCGAAAAGACTGTATTATAGTCTGATTTGGTTCTTTTCAGTCAGCTAATAACGGTATTGGTATTTATTATTTTTGAAGAGATTGTAAACGACATTGTCGACGTTAGTGAAATTTAACATTCTTTATTTGAATAAAAAACTTCATTTATTTTTCGTAAGCTTAAACTTGAATGTTAAAAAATGGTAAGTTACAAGAAATTGAATTAGTAAATTGAGCATTATTTCTAAAGTAGTTTCATGGATTGTATCGAACGATATCCATTATATTTTGTTGACAAGATGAAGGTCAAATAAACGGTTCCCAGAAAAATGCGCAGTCGGAAAACTGCGCATCGGAAAACTGCGCATCGGAAAACTGCGCATCGGAAAACTGCGCATCGGAAAACTGCGCAAACAGAAGAAGACGCAAATAAAAAAAAAAAAATCATAAAAAACGTTTTAATAACAAGCTTTTATGTAATAATGCACTAAAAAGTAGAAAATAAATTATAGACTACTATTTAAATAACTATAAAGAAAAGCGTGGGTCACTTTAGTATATATTGGATACCTTTACTAATGTTAAGGAAGACACCCACGCTTTTCTTTATAGTTATTTAAATAGTAGTCTATAATTTATTTTCTTATTTTTAGTGCATTATTACATAAAAGCTTGTTATTAAAACGTTTTTTATGAATTTTTTTTTCAGTACTTTACATGTTTTATTTACATTGGAGTTACATGACTAAAAACCATTGCGCGCCTACTGAACGTGATGTCGCAGCCATTTAACGTGATGGCGCAGCTATTGAAGGTGATGACGAGTGTGGTGTGGTTGGATAGACATGCCTACTAATTCGGTCCAAATTTTAATTAATTCATAAAAAAATTATTAGGCATCCAATTGAGTCAAATTTAATTTCAGATTGCATTGTCTTCATGTCTTGACCCACGTGCCAAATGTGAATCGTATCGGTCAAGTAGAAGTTTCCGAATTTTCTTTCACTCCGGGGTTTCGGTCTAGACAGACTGTCGAGGAAGTGAGTTAAATAAAAGCTTGTAACAAATTATACTAGTGAACTTTAATTTGTCTCATTAAGTTGAAATAACATGTAGTCACTCTTTGTAAAAGTCTATAAATGTTCGAATTAGGAAAACAAAAATGCTTTTCGCACTTTTTTGCGCAGTTAATAGTTTTCCGTTGCACATCTTTCCGGTCACCGAAATAAATATCTCTGCATAGCAAGATATACAATGGGTTGTAAAAATAATTAATGGATAGTTGTTTTCTTTTAAGCTAAAGCAAGGCAATAAAAAATAAATTTAGAATTAAAAAGGTAATTGGATCGTTTAGAGAAAAAAAAATTGTTATTTAGAAGATGAAAGATGTGTTAACACTACGGCTTATGGGTGAGATGAAATAATTTAATCCAAATAGATTTGGGTTTTTGGCTAATTGCATGACGCGTACATTTCGGTTAATATTTAACTCGGAATTGTGGATGACCTTAAGGCAGCCGATTATGACCGGAAAGTTAAAAAAAAACAACTAAAACAGAAGCGACGAAAGCGCGAGGTACCATACTGTGAGACAGAACTGACTTACCGTCATCGTCTGACTCACTGCTGAAGTGGCAGTCGTCGCCGTTGGTGCTGACGTCACCCGCCATCTCATCGTTCATGTCGTCGACGTCCACATCGACATCGTCGTCATCTCGGCCAGTGACGTGTTTGTGCGAGACTTGAGTGAACGTCTGCTTGACGCCTGCGCTCCCATAGGCCGCCATTTTGGAGTTTTCAAGCAAGGAGTTGTGAGCTAAGAGTGGGAGGTGGTGAGCTCTGCCCGTGTCCGGGGTTCTGGGAGCTAAGATGTCCGTTATAAGAAATGACCGTCTAGGGTGAGGGGTTTGTGTTTTGTTGATGAAGGAGGGGTGTGTGGCGTCGGAGGGGTGGGGGGAGTCGGATTTAAGGTTTACTGGGGAGACTGAACTTCGTGGGGAGGAGGATTTGGGGGAGGGAGGGGAAGGGACGGGGGACGGGGGGTGGAGAAAGTTAGGGAAGTGGTAGGGTAGATTTTTCACGCTGGGGTCAGCGGAGAAGTGGGGGAAACGCTTGAAGTATGGGGTGAGGTGGGTGTGGAGGGGGTCACGTGATGCGGGATGGTGCAGACCGAAGGGTTTGAACGAGCTGAGATATTCACTTTCTGGTGGCACCTTCAGGTGTCCTGGGTCTGATACTGGCAGTTTCAGGTGTGGTGGGTATGGTGGACCAGGTTCCGATGTTGAAAAAGCTGAAGAGTCAGGAGAAAGGTTTATGGGTACTTCTGGATCTCGGTTTGTAAAAAAATCACCTCTTTGGCCGGAGTCGGCGCCATCTTTGTTTACTCTATCGAGGTCGCCGCCATTTTTTGTGATGACGTCACTGTGTTCTGAGCCTGATGGTTGGTCCGGGTTCGAGATGACGTCAATGGTTTCGTCATCTGACTGTGTGACGTTGCCAGAGTCTTCGTGGCTGGATGTAGAGATGAGTCTGTGTGGTGTGGACAGAGTTGCCATATTGGCACCACGTGATTGGTTAAATATTGTTTAAGGAAATCTTGTTAGCCTAAAAAGATCACCGTGAAAGTGATTTGTATTCAACTCTCCAAACTGCCTGTTTGCCTTGATGGAGCATTTGGCAGACGACACAAGTTTGCGCTAAACTTCAACTTGCCGATCTGTAAAAAAAAGGAGAAAAAGGTCAGAAAATGTTGACGATACTGGCAGTTCAAAATGGAGAACAAAATAACGCTCTAAGTTTTAAAATAACAATATGTAAAGTCAATCTGAAAAGATAACTCTTCAAAGTTTTAATAATGTAAATAAAGTTAACATCGTTGTTTAACTATTATTTAACATTTTTACAATTCACTTAAAGCTATGATCAAGCGTTGAACTCTCGTCGTAAAAAAAAGCTAAAAAAGTTGATCCGCTGGTATTAAATTCTGTTTCGTTTTATACTTATTATACTTTTTATACTTATACCGAATACAAAAAAAGGTTTATAATGAATATTAAGAGATATTATAGTTACTCTCTATAAAAAAAATCACATAATTAATTGCAGCACTACGGCCTTGTACCAGCTACCGGCTACCGGCTTCGTAGAATGAACCCCAGCCGTGTAGCCTTGTAGCCGTGTAAATGTAAAGTGCCTAGCGTTACACAGTCGATCTCTAGCACTAGATGTTTTTCACGTTCCACAAGAACAATCGATTGACGGGAAAATGTGCTAGTATTTCTTCCATCGATGGGTCAGTCGGTTCAAGGCGGCCGCTCGTTGGGGTGAGTCAGGCACAATGAACCCCCGGGTCTGGTAGTACCCGGGGGGGGGGGGAGCAAAACTTTACACCGAAATGACATCCTGAACGAAGTGATCTGAGGTATGTCGTACCTTAGGTTATTCCGTCTGCTGTTTTATTGAAAGATTCCTCACGGGGAAGTCAAGCGTGAGACGCCACATATAAAAAAAAAAAAAACTCTTCTTGAATGGAGTTAAAAATGTACACACAGTGATAGAAGAATGGAGTAGCTTTAATATGAATAGCTATACGAATTAGCTTGTTTTGTAGGCACGCTATGGCGAAGAAGCCCCCAAGAGCGCCCCCCCCCCCCTCGCCTGGGTTCCTCAAGTGCAAGCCCGGCCCTGAAGAGCCCCCTACACGCGCGTAGACAATCTGCAACAATGCGATCTATTACTCGCAAGTTCATAGAACCGACTTAGTGATATATTCATACGCGGCTAACACTTTACACAAAACGTTTTTGAACAAAATAGTCCCCGCGTGGAGAGAGAGGACGCTACTGCGAGCCCGGGTCAAAGCGATCGCGGCGTCCTTCGATCAACAAATAACTACTTGGGAATCATGCGAGTTATTTATCATTATTATTAAAAAATAAATCGCGAAAGGGTGAAAACACGGCGTGGTTGAAATCGCCGCTTGACTAACTAACTTTCCGCCCGGGCTTTTATTAACCCCGCCACAAAATACTTTTGGAGTGCGGGCATAGAAAAGTATCAAGAAGACTGTGGTTCCCCGACTGCATACTCGGTCACCTCCGTTGGCGCGGGGGTCTTGTCGGGTAGAGTGCAGGGTGCCGGCGTGAATGGGGACCCAACTAATCCCGAAAACCGTCGTTACCCCGTGAATGTGCACTAAGGTACCCGGGGACGTCTATTGTGGTGTTGTTTTATTTTTTTATTTTTAAATTTAATTTTTTTTTTACCAGCGTTGAAAAATATGTATTGCTAGTTTTACGGATTAGTCGGTCAGTAGGGGCGATATGGGGAAGGTGAAAGATTGAGGGGGTGGGGAGTGGGGGGGGGGGGGGGGGGTGAAATGCCAGGGAGGTGAAAGTTTTGGGGTGGCTGAGACAGCGTGGAGGAGGGGGTTGATTGTTGTAAAGGTTGATTAAGAAGGGGGTTGGGTATTGTGAGGGTAGGAGTTAGAGCACACGTTCTGTATTGTCATGGGAATCTGGAGTTTATGGAATCAAATACTTCGGTTATGACACATCGCAGTCAACGGGTGGGGGGGGGGGGGGGATGAGGAGGTATGACTAGTTGGACTATTTGACATACATATGTAGACAATGTGTCATAGGTCGAACTCTAGACTCTAGCCGACAGCTGTAGGAACATACCTAATCTGTTTGATAGATTAATAAGGAACATACTGGATTTCTTCCATAGTTTAGTTCAAGGTATTTAGGACAATTATTCGACAGATTTTGATGAGGTTGTTGACTGGCCAATGTTACAGCTAACCCATTCAACAATCGCACTTAGTGGCCAATGGTCCAACATTTATGTTGGCCAATGGTCCAACATTTATCTGGCCAATGGTGCAACATTTATCTGGCCAATGGTCCAACATTTATCTGGCCAATGGTCCAACATTTATCTGGCCAATGGTCCAACATTTATCTGGCCAATGGTTCAACATTTATCTGGCCAATGGTCCAACATTTATCTGGCCAATGGTCCATATTTATCTGGCCAATGGTTCAACATTTATCTGGCCAATGGTCCAACATTTATGCTGACAAATGACCTAACATACTTGCTGACCAACTGACTAAAATATATACTAGCAAAAGGTTCATCATTGTTGACAAAATACAACATTTGATGATTAAATACAACATTTGATGATTAAATACAACATTTGATGATTAAATACAACATTTGATTAATAATTACAACATTTGATTAATAATTACAACATTTGACAGCTAAATTCAACATTTGATGACTAAATACTTTTGATGACTAAATACATTTGATGACTAAATACATTTGATAACTAAATACATTTGATGACTAAATACAACATTTGATAACTAACTACAACATTTGATGATTAACTACAACACGTTCAGTACAAAAAGATGTGAAACCATTGAGTTCAGAGTTCACGATACAACTGGGCATACAACACTTGTATAAAACTAGGAATAAAGAACGAATACTGACGGAACAAAACATGCTAGTTAACGTGAAGCCGTACATTGTTTGAATATGTTGTAACTGCAACATTGACTTGTCATTGAGGTTCTAGTGATAGTTTTGTCATTGCATTATGTTTATTTATTTAAATTATTTTTACTCATTATTTTTCCTTTAGTTATTTTTGCTAAAAGCCTACTTATCTTTGCTTTAATTATTTTTAATCTAATTACTTTTTGTTCTATTTTTTTTTTGCTATTGCAATATTAAAATTTAATGTAAATATTTTTGCTCTACTTTTGTCGCTCTAATTATTTTTACCTTATTTTTTTGCTTGAATTTTTTTTTGCACTAATTATTTTTGCTTGAATTATTTTTGCTCGAATTATTTTTGCTCTAGTTTTTTTTCCTCTAATTATTTTTGCTCTAGTTATTTTTCTTTAATTATTGTGGCACTAACTATTTTTGCTCTAGTTGTTTTTGCTTCAGTTATTTTCTCTATAGTTTTTTTTTCTTATTGTTATCTCTATTTGTCAAAAGTTGTCCTAAAGAAGTCAAGATTTAATGTCAACAAATTAATTGTTGACTTAGTGTAGGAAAGTTGACACTGGTCAACACAAATTATTTAAATCTTAAGTCAAGATGTGGGTTTTGTCAATAAAAGTGGCAAAATTGTATCGTAAAATGTTGACATTTTTGAACAAGAATAGCACAATTGAGATTTTGGGCAAACTTTGAATAACATTCATGCGATTAATCGAACAGTGATTGAATGGGTGAATGATGGTGGATGTTGTTGTTTTGTATGAACAATATTCATTGTTCTGTTGGGTTCTCTTTTAGCGCGAGAAATCGATTGTATGTAGGCATTGTGTTGAAAGTGGTCCCAATGTTTGTCCTCTCTCGTATTGATTGGTAAGTCTCGCATGTTTAGGAGTGCTTTGTTGGTGGTAGTCAAGTTTTAGTTGAGTGCTAGTCGAGTGCTGATCGAGTGCTGATCGAGTGCTGATCGAGTGCTGATTGAGTGCTGGTCTATTTGATGTAATGATGTAAACACTGTGGTGCTTTGCTAATGTTTGTTTCGGTGGCACCACAACAGTGACAAATCCTTGCAATTTAAAAAAAAAATTTCTATACGACGTGTAATGATGTCACTACTATGTAAACACTTGCAATCAAATCGCTGTAGGGACTTCAAGTTTTTAAATTAACTTAGTGAGTGTAATTTAAATGTTAAGTTATGACCAGCTTTAGACAGTTAGCAGTTATTTTAAATGTTTTTCGTGATTTTTAAGTAAACAAAACAAGAAGTTCGAACACACTATCAGCACGGTAATTTAGACATATGTTATCATCTATGTGTTGTAGACTGAAGGCATATATAACCCAAAATGTGTTTTTTTTAGTGGGGTGGGGGTAAGATTGTTCCA